AACTCTCTTATCAGTGCAAAATATTTTGCGATATCCAGCTTGTTGCGTTTAGGAGACCAGTTACAAGGCACTCAGTATTAACTTCCGTCCTTACTCGTCAGGCGGGATAAACATTTACTTCTTTTGACAGGTAAACCGCAATTTATTAGAAAACTAGCTCAGTAGATCAGCTTTTACCGCACACTGAATTACCCGTTGGCCACCATTGAGATAAACCCATTGCCTTTGTTGGGCGTTCCATAACGGCCTCAACTCACGTGACCTCAGCTGCATGTTAAGTTGAGCCATCATTTTCCAAACGAAGGTGTGAGGAAAAGTCGGCTAGTCAGCCCGGACTATCCTTGATATTGGTTGTGTGCAATTCTTCTCCGCTGCAATCGAATACAACCATCGTCTTGCTTTAATATGATCGGTTGTCTCCCTCTCGGTTTTTCCTTGATGGAGAAATTTCGTTGAATATGTCATAAATTGGACTTATGTTCATATCAAAGCACTTCCACAAAACACCAACTGAATCATCGGATATATGCTCCTCTCGATTAAGTTGTCTCTAAGCTTCAATTAAATAACAAAAACGTTCGAATGTTTCATTTAGTTTGGGTGTGGTGACACAACAAAACGCTTATTCAACGAGCCGCACACCTGAGGGTCACCTTTTGGAGATCAACTTGTATGTTTCTTGGACTTTGTTTTTAGTTCTTTCAGTATTGTAGATGATGCGTGAGTAGTTTGTAGCCAAGTAATTTGTCAATGTATTTAAGTTAGAATATTTTCATTAATTTGTTTATTTACCGTGCGCTGAATGAAAAGAGACGAGCAATTTAGAATACATGGGCTCAATTCAAGAAAACGCTGTCATGGAACAGAAATACTTTATTAAATAGAATGAACTCCCATGCTGCTTCGCTTAAAATGTTTTTCAAATCTGAGCCGTAAATTTCGAACTACCATAAATTTTATCGCAAAGCTCAGGGTAACGCTAATTCAAACGGTGATAGAAGAGAACGAAGAACATAAAAGTGGGAGATAAAATAACGAATAAATTTACTGTACCCATATTCATCAATATACAATAGAGAGAGACTGAAATGTATTTCTAAAATGAGAGTGATGTTGCACCAGTTTGATCAACACCCGTATACCACACGTCTGAGGTCAGACTGTGTGCCAAATCATGGTGTAATTATCTCTAAAGAAAGGAAAAAGTTCCACGATGTGCATGTGGGCCGAATACTACCAGGTTGCCCAGGCCAAGGTAGATGAATTTTTTTAATATTTATTCAACACTTAACCAATTACAGAGAACTGACAAATGTGCCACAACATATGAACAAAAAGAAATTTGAAAAATGTGTTCACGGGTTGTGTGTGTGTGTGTGTGTTACTTCCCGATTGCCCTGACCGAGGAAGGGGAATAGCCTCGGGGTCCCCACCCGAAGCCTTTGGCTAGAAAGCCAGACCTACAAGACAACAGGTCAGAGCTCAGAGTCCGAAGTCCATTGGGGACCGGTGTCCAGTTCACTGGGTCATTCGCGCTTTGGACGGGATCAAACGTCCAAAGATGCCCAATACCCCGAAGCCCATTGGAACCGGTGACCACTGCCACGACTAGAAAGTTGTGTGTGGTTCGTACGCCTCCTCTTGGTTGGGTTCAAATCAGGGTTTTTGGCTAACTTTCCTAGGTGAACTGCCAGTGGTCCACCAACCCGGTTATAGCCCCGGATGTCGGCTTTTCGTCCTCTCACTTTGGTGCAAGAACACCTCCACCGCGAGAAGGCAGTGAGTAGGGCTTCCTCAGCAGAGACTATTTGAGACCCTTGATCGTATGGGAGCATTTCGTGAGGTTCAAGGGAAGGGTGACCAGCCTCAACCCTAGACACCCACCATAGACCATATTAAGGCTTTCGGTCGGCAGACGGAAAAATGGTCCACGTTGTTACCGATTTCATCGTGGATCCAGCTTTCCTGGCACCGAATTGTGAATATTCTCGTTTGTTTGTCAATTCTTTTACTTCTATCATGTTTTCAACCAGAGACAGCAAATTTCCACTTGTGACTGCTGGATTGCATATATATATGATCGTATACGGAGTGTGACGTGCCATCCAGCTCGATGTTTTCTAGGAGATTCTTTTAGTTATCCATGAACTGTTCTCTCTCTGTGGCCAACCGGTTAACCAAAAGTAGGTAAACTCCAATGACCGGAATTTGGAAGCTGTTTCGCAATCGCAGCAGAGTAACGCACAAAGTTTAGGATGCCTATAACCACACGTTTCTATAGCAACGAGGGACGTGTATCTTTGCTAAAATCCAGTTACGAGTGATTATGTAGCACATAGTCTGATGATTTTACGGACCGCGCGGTCGTATTCAAAAGCTCCGCCGGTCCAATAAAAGAGTGATTATGGATTGTCCATTTATGTATAACCCGGTGGCACATGACCACGCAAGATAGGAAAAATCACCAATTTCCGGTGTCCTCGGGTCCAATCATGGGAAACACATGCACATATGCCGTCTGTATCGTAATGCTTCTTGTCACTGAACGACGGAAGTGCTAATAATGATAGTTGTGTTCACCGAACCTCGCCTAATTGTGCATCGGTATATCATTCAGTATACCACCTTTCAAATAGGGATTATGCGGTCTCTGTTCCTGATTTCCTATCTCTTTTTCACAAAACTCTTGCAAACCCCTCTCTGCAGTGCAACAAGCTATGCTAGGTAATTCTCAGTTGGTAACAGATTTTTGCAGAACCACATCTCGGGTATCTCCTGCCTCATTTTCACTCGCAGATTCGCATCTATGTGTTTCTACGCGATAAAGAATGAAGGACTCAAATAAGCTCTGCAAAAATTCGATTAGCGAGTTCGTGAGACCCACTTCGGTGGGGGATTTACGTGTTTTATCGGATGATTATCGTGATAAATCTAAGTCGATTTTTATTTTTGATGATCGGCATTTCGTACTCAAGACTCACTTTGAATGGTATAATAAAATGTACACATTTTTAGGGTTTTCTGAGATGAATTTAAAGTATGTATAATGGATAATGTACAGCTTTTTTATCGCTGTAATAGAAAACCCATGATCTGTTGACCCATTGCTGTATGTGGGTTTGCGAGGAGATCGCTTACGCTGAAATAAGGTTGACAGGTTTGCGTCCAAAAAGGATAATGTTGTAATTGAGAGAATAGACGAATAAAGACTGGTGTTCAACATTTTTGAAGCTCGTTGAAAAAATTGTTTCCCATACGTGGCACTCGATCTGATTGCGTATCGGTTTAGGTATAGTTTATTTTGATCCCATTTAATTGTGCTTTGTTCTCCCCGATGAGTGTATTTTCATCATTTGACGAATATAGAGGGGGCGAAAATTCGAAAATACCGTTCAAAGAAACAGGACCTTAGAACAAATAAAAGAATTAAACGCAAAAGTCAGTGCTTAGGAGTGTTGATATCGCATTACTTATGTCGTCACTCTGAGTTATGACCTGTGTGCGAATATTTTCTACGGTTTTGACCAGTTCGTTATAGAAATAATGATTTTTATTATGCAATGTTTTCTTGTAAGTTAAGGTATATTAATAAAAATCAGATTGTCCACAAGCAAAATAAACAAAGACGATCTCAATACATCCTGAATCAATGAATGACCTGGTGAACGTGATTAGATGGTTATCTTTTAGACCGGATAAAAAATAAAGCAACAACAACCGATGTGAAGTTGTAACCTTTTAGAGAACCGTCTGTCTGAATAAGTAAAAGGTCAATTTGCAAACCGCTAATTTATTCCACTTGGATAGACCAAGAAAGAATGTGATACAGAATAATACTAGGGTAATCAACAATACTGGCTCTGGGTTCGTTCTGTCGGTTAGCAGCACATAAACCATAATATTATTTATAGGAACTGGAAGGCGAAACAGAAGCCCATGGAAAATGTCATTCATACTATTTTAGAAATAGCTGAAATAGTCATCATCCAGGGAATAACACTACAGAGTGGGCATGTGAAATGGCACTTAAAGTGGTATGTATGCGAACAAGGACAGTTCAACAGCTAATGTCTTAACGTCAAGAATAGGATTGGGGAAACAATTGTTCAACAGTGAGCAAGTAACCGTATCCTCAGTGTTAGATGATGCGTCTGATTGAACACTAAACCGATCAAAGTGTGCGGTATTCGCGAATACGGTTAGCGATCGTATTTCGTACATTGCCAGTCAATTTCCTCAGTGATGTTTACTTGACGCGCACAGGATGGCGAATCCGTGTTACAGTGATCTCTCGAGTGTTGCCCCAACGGTATTTGGCTTTGGATAACGATTTTGATCTTTGGATGAGTGCTGAGGTTCGACGAAGGACAGTGAGCTGCCTGAATCGAGCACTAAGGTAATTGGTTAGCTCCCATAGGTTCAGATGTTTGCATACGCTTCTGAATGAAAATTGCATTGGGCGTTGTAGGATGAGGGGTCAGAGGTTAAAGATAGGAAGAGCAACAAATCTTGGCTATCACGCAGACTGTCCGAATTCTTGTTCTGATAAACTCCTACTTGTAAGTTCTGTTTACTTTCGTGGTCGAATGTTGTGAACCGAGATTGTTTGTACATCTCACGTTTGTCCGGATTTATCGTTTCTCCTTTGCTGGACAAGCCTCCAACAGAAGCAGTCGGCACCGGGGGAATTGGTGATCAGTCGGAAGCTTATCATGGTTTTCCCTGTTATTAAATAATTATTTGTTACCACAATTGGTAATCGTTTTCACAGATGAGTTCTCTTTCTTCATTTGGGATCACTTCTGTCTGAGTGGTAACCCCAATAAATGTTTAACTTGAGATAATCTTTTTCCATTATCAATTTTACACGAACTCCTCGACACTGAAGAATGGCCCTTTCGTGATCATGAATTACACAAAATTCTGTTTGGTCTGCATTCATTTTCCATTGGATTATTTTCTGTCATGTATTCCCAATCTTACATTGTGTTTATTCCCAGGGTCAGTCGGTTTGTAGTTGGCAACCACCGCAATCTGAAATGGTTGCCTACCGATCATTTGAACCGTTCGAACAACTTGTGATGCATCCGCAGAGTCGTTTGGAGGTGCATCTATGGGCTGTTTGGGCTATTCATCATATTCTGACCCGCAAAGGTACGTTTTCAGTGCAACCATTTATACCATGTAATGACAACGAACGGGATTGGTGGAAACGAGCAGCTTTTTTGTAATCTATATCGTTAACTGTTGGCTGTCGTTCTTCCTATTTACATCTATTTTTCAAGGCTGTCTAACCTGGAATGTTTCATGACCTGCTGTGGAATATTCATGGTCTGTTGAAGCGTTTGTCACTCGAGTTTTCTCTTGAAAGACTCGATCATCCCATCCTTTACAGTTCCGAATTTCGACATGTTTACTCCCATTAAGTCGCATTACCGGGCTAAAATTTTCGTATTTGTGTCTGTTACACTAACAGTATCCACCCAAATCTGACGTTTGAACACCTGCGTTCCACAGTCGATCGCTTTCATGTCGCAAAGTTCCAAAACGGGAGGGTGATAGGGTATTCAAAGTGTCTCACTAACCATTACCCTCATCGGTTAAGCAATGTGGAGAGCAGATATCTAGGTGACCGTGTACTTGACTCGGCCTATGTACAGTGTAAACAGTTTATGCAAAGTTATCCTGACCGAGGATGATCTTGAGTGTGAGCTCAAAAAAGACTCCGATTTTTTTTGCCTGTGAAGTTGAGACAGATTTGCAAACTGTGATACAAATAACCGTTGGAAATGATCAGCACTCAGATCGCAGACCATCACAGGTCTTATGTGAATTTATCCTCAGGCCAGTGTAATCATGATCATGTATAGAAGGATCGAGAGCAATGTGTTGGGGTAAAACAGTCGAAGTCTAAGGGGCGCGCGAGAGTTTTGTTCTCGTTCTTGTGCTCGGACGTAAGTAGGTCACGCAACCGTTCGGATCATCACTCCGCTCCTGTGTGATTTTGTTCACTTTCGATCAGGGAAGTTTTAATGGCCAAATTTGTTTTAATGCACATACTTCTAGCTTTAACAAGCAGATTATATGTGGGTAATAGAGGATTTGGTTTCAAATGACAATTCGTCGTGTATATAGCAAATGAAGCGTGAACTGAATAGCTCGTGTAAATGGAAATTGAAAAACGGTCTGATCAGCTGCCCGGTGGAGTAGTGGGTAGCACGCTTGCGTTCTGCCC